TTAGGAAGTTTAAGTGAAGCGAAGTAACACTAGAAACTATACAGTCTAAAAGCAATCATAATGATACTGATAATGACGGTATAAGAGTACAAAGATTAATCTAACAAAAGGGGAAGTTGAAAAACGAAAGACGAGGAGGAAGTACACCAAAATTAAAATAAGTTGATGCTAAGGTAGAGAAAAAGACTTTACATACTTCTTTGGCACATAAAGATCAGACTTCAGTTCACAGGATAGTCAAGACGTCTGCTGTAATACATAATATTTGTAGCACAGACTGTGTGCAAGTTGAACCTTATCTTCTTAGAGAGACTCTTGCGGAAAACAGGTATCGTGCGTTCCAGTTCACTGGGTAAAGTATACTAAGTGCAGCAATACTCAGGTAGTGAAGTGTACAGATAGACAGATGGAATCAACATAGAACTTCGCACATAGGTGCATTGGCTCAAGTTACCATGTCTGAAATCTAAACCACTGCGATCGATTTTCAGCCACGTCACCAAGAGTTCTCAACCACTGATACCCTTCGTCTTGGGGACCGCGACCAGCCATTCTGCATCTTCAAACATGGCTCAGAGCAACAGTCGTAGGTTTCATGGACCAGTGCCCTGTCTTGGTTTGGTCATTGTGAGTTTTCCTGCAACTTAATTCAGCTCCCCGTAATATAGCACGTTAGTGTGAGTGGTGGCTTGACATGAGCGGTGCGTATCGAAGCCATCTCAATCGACTAAGTTTCACAACCTTATCAATGAAGTCGCCTATTACCATTTACCTCACTTCGACATTGCTCACACGATTATTCCACCAAACCGGAACAACACTACAAAGAAACCCGTGATCAAAATCTCTGTAACCGCTTCACGTCATCTACTTTCAACGGCCATGTCTCACAGCCTTATAACAGGACGTAGCGGATTTCTGTCCACTAAACTCGTCCAAGTATGACCGTAGTTCGCAAATACGAAACGAGACTACTATATCTGTCACCAACCAACCCGTTCAAACTCACACAAATCCCAAGTAAGTGAAGTGCTCGACACATTCCACCACTTCACTCCCTATCCTTAGATTAGGAGTTGAGAAGTGTTCAGAAACTGAGAACCACATGCCATGCTGCCAAACTTATATTTTTTTACAGTTGAAACACAGCTGTTATCAAAACTTATCAGTTTATTTATGGTTACAACATCATTCTGCTCAGTAGTATACTTTCTTCAACTTATGGAGTTCAAAATGTCTGCACCAAAATAGAAAAATAGCATGGAAACACTTTTGTATGCAGAAAAGTACAAGTGTAGTGGTTGAAATTGAATGTAAACTTTAGTAACTGTTTATCTTAAATTAGCAACACCTGGATGACATTGCTTCTCACTTACTTTTTCCTTCAACCATTATTCTCCATCAAAGTGTAAACCAGTATTAGTTTTTTTATCATTGTATTCGTATCCGGTTTTTTATTGTTCTATTTGGATACATAGTATACAACAAGAACACTATCTCACATGCACACTACCAAGTGTGGAATACTTCTTTTTTTTTCCTGTGTTTAGTCGTAATCATTTTCTTGTTTGAAAAACATGGTGAACTGTACCTCTGATAGCCTTTTCCAGCCCATTTTTCAGGTCATGTTACTATTAGTAAGTAAATACAAAGTGTCGTCCAATAATCAAATTCACCAATCATCTTCCCAAATAATAATAACTGCCTACCAGGTACACGTCTCTTTGTTTCTTAATGACTCATCAGTATGCTTCAGATTTTCTTTTCCTTCTCAATCTAATCTAGCGAAAACAAAAAAGTTTTTTGTAGCCTAAGGGCAACCGTTTTGCTGTTGACTGGTTACATCATAGCTTTCTGACTCTTTTTCTTTACCACTATATGATTTAGTTTTTATACACGGATTTGACATTTCATATTGTAGTGCTTTTCGACTCATGCACTTTCTGCTTTAACAAAGGTGTGTGCGTATATCCCTTTGTGTACACAAGTACATATAACCTGTAACAGACTTAGTTATATGACCTGAAATGATTGTGATAAAAAAAGTTGAACTCTTTCTGTTTCTCTTCTGTGTTAGTTAGTTTCGCTTTTTTGTTTCTTAATCCCAATTAGTCTACCGTTTAATTTAAATAATTTTTGATGGAAAAATTGCCATTTTTATTTCTTTACGACAAACTGTCTTTTTTGTCTTCGACTAAAGTTGGGAAAACTCTGTACCATTATAAAAGTATTGCACACTGTTTTCCTCATCTTTCTTAGCCTTGATTACTTATAGGATCTAACTGATGAATACCTAATCTAAATGATAAATGAAGTGGCTAGTTGTGGCAGACAGATTTACTAGTCCTATTGCAGTGAGCGTTGCTGATAAGAATGGATATAAGTAGTATATGTTGAGAGGGTGGGAGAAATCATTGGGAATTACCAGTAATGGGTAAGGATTCCACCAAGAGAAACGCAATAGACAAGGCAGCCGTATGAAGAGCAAATTAAGAAAGATGCAGAAGAGGGATTGAAGCACATATTGCAAATGACGGTTCTAGTGTAAGGTGTACCACTTGCCAACATTAAACATTCCTTGCTTCGTACCTGTCTTGTACCTTTCACTATGTCTGAATGAACGACGAAATCGTTCTTTATGTTTCGACAATTATTACTGATAAAGTAATGCAAATCACCCTATCGTAGCTTTATGCATGTAATAAGTTATAAACTACATTTAATGTTCTAGGACTTATGATACTGCCCTGTTGCATATGCCGATATCAGTTAGGCGGGATCTGAACGTTGAACCAATTACTTGAAATGTATTTTTGAGATGAATGGGGATTTTTTTAAGTTTAGAAGTAGTATTCACCATCTAATGAGAAGCCGTGACCTGTGGGGTCAACCAAACCAGTCGGAAGTGAAGTGAATGCTAACTGACGACCTTGGGTGACAGTCGTGCTATGTCGTGAATTGACAGAAGTTGGCAGTTGCTAACCACTGGAAACCGAACCAGTGGCTGGATGGTTAACGCGTTCGCCGTGAAACCTGATAATCCTGAGTCCGACCCCTAACCGGGTCCTGGGTGCGTACTGCTCAGGAGTCCCATACTATGGTTCCCCAACTGATAGCAGTCCATGATGAATACTACTTCTAAATTACTTGAAAGTTGTACTTCTTTAACGAATAAACCACATGATGATAGTGAACTAATTCCTGATCATAATGCGGCAACTAGATGAGTATTTGCCCACGGACTTGGATACCTTTAGACATACGTTGACCAAGATGAACAGACCGAAACGTGGCACTAATCCATGAAGTCTCTGAATGTCAGTCAGAGTCATGGATGGAGGTGTAGACAGTTTGGTGGCGTGGGGCGGGGGTCTCAAAAATCTAAATATTTTCACCAACCTTCATTTTCAAATTTTTTTTCCAACATTGATATCACTCTTATTCTAATACTTTGCATGCTGCAGTGAAATAAAGTTAGTTAACTTGAGATTCTATGTTGATTTTTTCTGTCTGTCTTTGCTCACAACTTACTAATTTTCTATACTTCGGTGAAGAAGTGCTCTCAAAAGCCGAATCAATAAAAATGGCGGACAAATAACTGCCAACCACCCCATTAATTGAATTTTGTGTTTTTACAATGATAAAACTACGAATTGTCACTGATAGAGTTCAATGATATGCACGAAACAATATTTCTATGAACTAATAATCAGATAACAAAATAGTCAATTACAACCAAAAAGTTGTCAATGATTACGTAGTTGTTTTCGTATATATGTTTATTTTGGGTATCATCATCATAATGATCCTAGTTTGCCAAATATCCTTCCAAATAATCAATACAGAGTTGGTTTGACCTGTTTATTTCGTAATTAATTAATTAATTCATATTTCTTGATCTTGTTGTATTAAATAAAATCATGTGATCATGTTGTTTATTCATGTACCAGTTGGGTCAAATGAGCATCGAATAAAAATGCTAATATGGTAATAATGATGTCTTCCTTGTGGGAGCACTTTTATCTCTTCCCCGCTGACAATTAACTGAGCATTTTAATTAGATATTATATCCTTGTTTCCTTTTCCATTGTCAAATGCAACCAGTATTTGCAACTAAGTGGTCTGGTTCGTTATTTTAAACACTTAACCTTCAAACGGTAAGCAAAAGATTTGAATCCCACTTCACCTCTTCGAGTTTCGATGGTCAGGCATTATTTTAACCCTGAAGTAATAATGGTACGATATAAACCGTCGTCTACAGGCGGCACAGACAAGGATGTCAAAGCAGCCAGGATCGGAAAGACAGCAAGACAGGCCTTCATTAATCTGAAATCAGTATGGAGGTCTACTGTACTCAGCACAAAGAACAAGATCCGGATTTTCAACACCAATATCAAGTCAGTGCTTCTGTATGTAAGGCAAGCACCTATCGATGAAGACCCCGACTATAAGTTCGAGCCTTATGGAGAGATTTATACTGCCTGGTTAGAGAATTTGAGATGAGAGGAATCAGTGGTTAAGAACTCTTGATGACATGACTGAAACTCTATCATAATGGCGCAGATTTACTCACTCTTTGACGTCTTCAGCCTACTTATTCTCTCACACAACTTTGTCTAGCTTGATATCAGTCTGTTTGTATCCACCTGTTCATTGTATCCTACTGCAAAGTGTGACAACTTGGGCCCCTGCAGTTGTGTATGAGGTTCTACGTTGATTTTGTAAGTCAGGCAAAAATCTGTTTAAACTGACCAAGTTCTTAAAACTCAATGACTAAATTTTTCGAAGGTATATTAGGCAGCTATAGAAGCATTATGAAGCGTGTGTTCTTGTTTACCATTGTATTTCCACGTACTTATTGTAACGATATTTATTCTCTATCTGTTTATATCTCATTAATTTTGTTAAAAATTATAGTGAATAAGAAATTTTCGGTTTTTACCTTAACTAAAACTTTACCATCTATTCCGTTACAATATTCATGTATCCTCTTTTGTTAGAATGGCAAAGTCTTAAACCATTCTCAGAAAGTGAACTCATCGAATACTGGAAATAACTCACGATCAATAATTCTTCCACTTGAATTGACTAATATTCATCCTGATCAACATGGTGAAGTGTATGTATGCGAAGCAAGAACAAGTCAACCAGTGAACAGCCAAACAGCTACCCGAACAGTAATGCTTGAAGTGAATTGTGAGTTGTTGGATTGTATTTCTCTAAATATTGATTGCTCTCTACATGCTTCTCAAGATTGATAAAAAGATGCTATATGGATATGAGAAATTTAATAGACAGTCAGATTCTATCGCAAAAGCAATGCTGTCTAGGCTTCTTATGTGAATCAAAATGGATGTCAGTTAGAAGGTGAATTTCTCGAGTAACCATTTAAGCATGAAATAGATGACTAGTGTTTGAAAGCTGAATGTTTTCGATCTATCTTACTAGGAAGCAACTAGATACTCTTGCTGTAGATATAATTACAATACCTCTCATTTAGTTTACTGACTTTGAAGTCTTTATAAGTTTATGTATTACGCTGAAAACTATGGTTATTGTGTGAAGGTTTATGCCACTACTTCACTGCTCAGGTCAGAGTATATGTTTAATGAGTTAGGATTCGAACCCCGGGACGCACAGTTTGAAAGTCAAATGTCCCAGGCAATGAGCCTTGTCTCCTAGTCGTCTTCATCCTAGAAGACTGTTAAACAAATCAAACCTTCACATCCAACCTACTAAGGTGTTGACTATAGTTTATTATAATTTAGTGTTAGTAAATGAGTTCCGGTTGTCTAAGGCTTAGTTCAACAGGGGAAAAGGGATTATATATATATATATATATATATATATATATATATATATATATATATATATATATATATATATATATATATCATGATGTTTTGTTGCAAAAAACAGGGAACTTCTGGCAAAAGTTTTGACAGATACTCGTTACAGTCGTTATATAAGCGTAGGAAAGAGTCAACATTGAACAAAAACCATTCTGGACGGAACTCTTTATCTGTTTTTCTGAACTGTCAGTTCTTATGAGATTGTCCCAAAGGAAGAAAAAGCCATTCAACAATCTTGATATTACATTTTTAATGGTTGATTAGATTTATCACTCAATGGAGGAATAGTATAGTTTACTCGATTGCGTTTCGGATACAATTTATGTAGTCCATAATGATATCAAGATAACTACACAAGTTTGAGATATCCTTTTTATAGTCCTAATTTCTCCACCCCCTTTGTAATATGAGTAGTGAGATTTTCCATATATCCGGAACAGGTGCTTAGCCATTCCTGTTGCATGTTGTATTAGGTGTTGATTCGACAAGCGATTTAGTTATCAATCTCTCCCTTGAGGATTTTCACCCTCTCCCATCCTATTATGTGGTTGTGTGTAGTCGCATGCCTATCCCATGACCGAGCCATTTTATAAATTCCTTATCTACGAATTTTGATCTGACTGAATTTTTATGCTCGGATAGCCTAGTTGACCCTGACTGGTCGACCACTTTGAGGTCACAATCATTTCGAAGGAATTGGTAAACTAAGTTATTCTGCTTAATTGGATCAATAGGATTTTTTAACGTACAAAGCTTATTTCTAAGTGAGTTTGTAGGTTTAAATGCCATTCTAATCCCAGCCAGCCTCATTGAGCATCCTACAAAATGTCTCTGAAGTGCCTTCTTTCTATGGTAAAGTTGTAGAAGTTCTGAATTCTCTCTTCACAGTATTGCCACCATTATTATTAACACTATTATCACCACTATTATTATTATTGTTATTGCTGTCACCACCTCTATTATTACTACTATTGTCATTACTAATATCAATACATGTATTGGTAATATCCTTCTTACAATTGGTAAAGAACTTATCAATTAAGTTGGGAGGGTAATTGTTGGTGAGTAAGGTGTCTTTAGTGTATCCGGTTCCTTTTTCTTTGATCTTCTGGTTTACTAGTAAGTTTTTTGGCCCTGTTACTTAGACACTTTACCCAGCCAACTTTAACTGACATAGGGTGAGACGATTCGAACTATAAGTAACGATTTGAATGTGAAAGTTTGGGTAGACACTAGTGTCTAAACTCCTATCCTTTTTCCGTTTTATCCGGCAATCCAACATTGCTAATTCCCCTTCACTATTTTCTAATTTATAGGTGAATTGGATTGTGTTGACTAGGGAATTTATATATATGAAGAAACTAAGTGTGCGCTTCGATGACAACACTGTAAACGTGTCATCTACATGGTGGAACCATATTTTTGTAGCCGGACTAGATTTTTCTACAGCCAACCGTTCCCAACTATCCATATATATGTCAGCCACAATAGAGGATATTGGTGATCCTATGACAACTCCCTCCGTTTGTCTGTATATTTTATTCTGGAACCTAAAAGTTGTGGAGTTTAGGCATAACTGTACTCTTAACATGATATCACCTACTGGTACCTTAATTCGTACTGCAAGCTCAAGGTTATTATTAAGTTGGTTTTTGACTGCTTCCAGAGCCATCCTAATCGGTAAATTAGTATACAAACTAACTACATCCAAACTAACCATTTTTTTCATCATCTAATCTGTGTCATAAGAATCTCAGTCGAAATGAACCTAGTATCATCGCTGAATATTTAGATAAGTCATAAGTGGGAGTATTTCTAAAGTCTACTATGGGTCTAATAGGGTAACCTGGTTTATGAATTTTCATAGTACCGTAAATCCTATTGGGATTATTAGTTTTCGGCATTAAATTAAACCATTTCAACCCACCCATAGTAGACTTTAAAAATACTATTTGCTTATTGAATCGACACGTAATACAGGATGCAACAGGAATGATTCTGCACCTGTTCTGGATATGTGGGAAATCCTACTGCCCACGTCATAAAGGGGGTGAGAAAATTAGGACTATATAAAGGATATCTCAAAGTTTGTGTAGTTATCTTGATATAAGATGATATGACATAAGTTGTGTCCGGAACATAATCCAGTAAACAATACTGTTCCTCTACTGAATGATGAATCTTATAGTAATCATGATATTCCTCTCTGTAATCGAGTGATATGTGTTATACTGTTACCACAATGGTCTATGATGCAGACGTCTTCACTGGGAAGTAGTCAGTTTCTATATTAATCACTTCAGTGAGTTTTACGATGATAATCGGAGAACCAAGTTTGTGTAGATACGTTCTAGATGTGTGTATGTGTATGTATATTGTTATAACAAAACCTAACTAGCTTGCAAACATACACCAATTTCATGCATCATAAAGGTCACTGGACATTGCGCAAAATCGATTAATTCGTTACACTCCAAGTTTTTTTTAATTTTTATATAAGAAACTGTTAGAAAATTGTTTAGCATGCCAACATGTCGTTGCACTTTTAGATAAGTGAGTCGTGGGGGAAGTTTTATTTCTAAAAAAGAACATTGTCATTAATAATGATTTAGTGGAATTGAACGCCTTAATGGTTTAAAATATATTCCCTAATTAAATTTTGAGGGGGTTGTGGAGATTTGGAAATATTTTAAGTTGTTATTCATCGAAGACTGACATCAGTTGGAAGAACAAAGGAAACCTGGGAGCACTGGACAGCTGTTTCATCCTAGTATGGGACTCCTCAGCAGTGCGCACCCACGACCCCACCAGCAGGGATCGAACCCGCGACCTTCAGGTTCCGCGACCAGCGCGTTACCATTGAGCTAGCCACTGGGTTGGTAGAATCCAATGCTCCATATTTCCAACTTCTGTTAGCTCACGATATAGCGCAAACCGCCACCCAATGTGGTTTAAAATATATTCCCTAATTGTAATAAATGGTAAATTGTTCATTGTAGGGTAAAGTGCATAAATTTATCCAATAGTATGCGATAGGATAACGGACTCTAGTGATTAAAGGAAACTGTTGCTGGTCTCACAATATTGTTACTTTGCAAATGATTATATCCTATTGATCCAATGCTTGTGACCACCCACCATTTATTATACCAATGAATCTGATGTAGAATTGATCACTGGCAAACTTTTCGGAGATTTCGAATGAAATATAGTTTGTTAAGTAGATCTTTTGTAATATCGTTCAGACTTTTCACTAGGTTTTATTGAATGGAAAGTTCAAAGTGAAGATGTTTTTGTGACACGTTAAAAGAGATGAATGCCTTAAAGGTGTATGTCTAAATATGGCAAAGTATTGGGTGTTTCTCCCTCTCCCTCTCCAGTTATTGTTCCTTAGTAGCAATCAATCATACCGGCTAGATGTTAGTAATATAACCAGTTTGATGGTGGTAATCCTACGACATAGACCGACCAAAAACAGTAAATCAGAAAATGAAAGAAAGATGGTGATTTGATATGATTATTAAAATGATGTCAGTGTGTGAATGCATTTGCTCTACAGAACTAGATCCTGAGCGTTTTTGTCTACAGTCTTTAATCTAGACCTTAGTCGATAAATCAACGTTTCGCTACAATGGTTCACATCAACGTCCAAAGACTTCGTGAACTGATACAGTTGACTGGTTCCTCAAACATTGACCAACGTGGCAGATACTGACTAAGTTTTTGGGTGTACAACTTTGACCAGTGGATTACTCAGTTCATTCGCTATTGACGACTGTAACCAATGAATTAAACTAAGATTATGGGGAGTTCTTTATGTAACAGATCCAGGGTTGGAGCTGCAATTTTGTAACATACCTGAACTTTATAAAATGAGGTTAAGACTCATCTATATAAACCTCATCTAACGTTTTTTTCTCCATTTTATTTCCAAAACTTTTTTTTACAGTATACCCAAAAATTAATATGTCAACCAATGTAATCTATACAGATTTAGGAGTTGAAGAAAAATTCAATGTGAGTTTGTTTTTTATTTCTCCAGATGTGATAAACTTTCTCCTCAAGTTTGAAATGTTTTTTTAATTGATTTTTATACTTTATCCCTTTGTAATCTCTTGTATCCTAACTGACCGAAACACTATTCTATGCATAAATTCACCCTTAAGACCGGGGGAGAGGGGGTTATGCTGCTTGTAAAGAAAATGCTTAATTTCCACCCTTATTTTTATCATCATAATCACCATCAATATTGTCATTGGACTGAAGTGACCTTATGTATCACTTTAATCGGTTTTCCTCTCTTTTTTTATTCAACTGAATTCATTAGTCACCAGTTCGTTTATTTTCATGCGGTACGATGTGATAAAAAGAGGCTATCTGTATCCTACTCCTGTTTTTTGTCATACTTGACTGTTACTGTAAGTAGTATTATCCCTACTGTTTGATGGTAGGCGAGGAATTCAACTCCCTAAGGACACACCCTTTCTAGAGGAGAAATAGAAAAGATATCCCCAGTCTACTCACTTTGTCGTCCTGTCGTCGAAATCTTTTTCTATAACACCTACCACCACCCTCCTTCCAGCCATCTAGACGGTGACCTTAGTTATTCTTCTTCAAACTGATTCCTGCTGTCTGCTTATCATTCAAACAGAACATATTCTGAGAAGTAGTGATTAGAAAAATAATATGATGTCTCTATGTGCTGCTTCTGTGTGAGGATTATTTTCTTTTTCCGTCGACCTTCATGCACACAAATACATTCAACACATGTATTGGCCCCATTTCATTTGTATCCCTTACTGATTTCTGTGAAACTGAGTATTGAAAGTTACTAAGGTTTTTAAGCTCTTTCACTCTGCATAGAACGATTTTTTTTACAGCGGTAGCACTCTAATAAGATTTTCTATCCAAATCAATTTTGTTCATAATATTGTTAACTAGCCCACTGAAGAATGTTTTGCCTTTGGTGAGACGTATCCTTTCATCTGGACAACCAACTGTGACCAGACTAGTTGGTGGCTGCCAGTGGAATCCGGGACACGCGTTTCGTTCTATTTGGGACTCACTCGTCAGCTGGATGTATGTGCACCCCGGTGATTAGTGGTGTTGTCCCCACTGAGACTCGAACTTTGTAACCATCGCTTCAAACGTCAAGACGTTATCCACCAGTTCACGAGGGCCACCACCAGCTTTGGCGTATGAAGTGATCGGTACTGAGTTTGATTCTCAGTGGGGACAATATCACTCACTTGGGTGTAGCCACACCCAGCTGATAAGTGAGTCCCAAGTAGGACGAGAAGCGCGGCTGCGACTCCAGGGCTAACCACCAAATCGACTACTAGATAACGGATATCCAGACAGTATCTAGGTATCGGCATGGGAGCCCATCTGCCAACAGATGTCAAGCAATTTGACCCAGTATAGCGACACAAAATTACAAGTATCAATCAACAGTAAATGGTACATCAAGATAACATACCTCGCACAAACTGATAGAAAGTAAGAACACTTCCAACCAAAGATCTTCGATTTTTTTAATACGGAATTCAATTCGTATAAACTTGCTATTTGAGGGATCCTCTGTTTAATGTATAAATTCAACAGCAGCAACCTTCCCAATTGGTGTCACATATCATTCAAGACGGACTCCTTCCGACCACTGTTGCTTTCGTTGCATACGTAAAGCGTGATGCAACCAATGTCTCTGGAATACAGAATTTTACTGTAGAATACACTCCTTTATTCTGATTCCTTATTAAGTTGATGCTGCTGATGAGTAAGGCGAAAATGCTTAAAATAATCGCTATCCAACTACCTAGAACATAGTTTGCCAAAAGAATTTTCAACTTTAAATTGCTTTTGTTCACCACATGTATAACTCAAGTTGAACAGCATTCGGCAGAAAGATGTGGTCGACCTAGGTTTCGTAACGTCTTTTACAGCAGAAGTGAGAATGACTTGGGTTTGAATATTACAGGGGACATTAGTTTCCTCAACATTGTAGGTACGCAGCTTGCTGACGAGTGCCAATAGCCATGAAACATAGATCAAATAGGGCTGCCTTCCTGCTGATTGTCATTAGTGAAGTAACAGCTTCCAGCTTACTGTTTTGACCATATTACGAAAGTGATCGGTAAAGAAATTAGGCAGCACTTTCCACACTGCATCACTCTGTCGTAATCTTCATTTAGAAAGAGAGTTATGTTTGTTCATTCTTCGGCAGTTGCCAGTCAGGACATGACAATAACATAGTATCATTCTGATTCTCACTGGTTCACTCATTAGATGATACTTAATGATAATTTTGTTTCATGTTATCCTATTTCAACTTGATACTTGGTGATCACTGAAAATTTGAACCACCGCTGGATTCGAATCAGCGAGTCTGGAGAAGGCCTTGGTGAAAATTCTGGTCAGCAGTTGGACCTCATTGATCAGTTGGTAGAGAACTGAGCCGAAAACCCAGTGGTTGCTGGTTTGAATCCAGCCGCTGTCCAAATTTTCATTTCACCTTCAACTATCACCGAGTATCAATAATAGTCTGCCAAACCACGGCTATTACAAACAGTTAAAATGATAATTCAATTTGACAATTTGGTGAAATGGTGTGTGTGTCTATATATTAAGAAATGATCTTGCATAGTGTAAATTGTTCAGATTGCATGTAACTTCCTGTTTGGGTACTAGAGATTATTAATTATATCCAGGAATATTTCATTATCTTATCTTTCTAACCTTTCGGTTCTACTCTCTCCAATATACATATTTATCAAATTCCAACTTAACTGTCTCCCACAAGCTTTTAACTAATTGAAGTGATATTTTGATCGGTTATCAGTTTGTTCAACAAGGTTTATAAATAAGATTCACCTCTGACCTCTCTTAGTCAAGATTACACGTTTGTTTATGTAATTTTGGGGTCAAAAGGTCATGAATACGATTTATCAAGCGTTTATATCCTATTCTACATTTCACTTCACTGTTGGCGATTACGTCATAAGTTGAATGTAACCTTGAATATGTGATTAGATTGCTAAGTTAGCCAAAAATTTACTTTGCCCAATCAAAAACTATATTATTCTCAAAAAATAATTTAAGCAATAAGGGATTGCATTTCGCCCTACCACTAATAGTCGCATACTGATTAGTTATAGTATAGCAATATGTGACTTGGAGTTTTGTGGCGACTGACTGATTTCAGCGTGATTCTCATCAAAGACTGGCGCCAGTTGAAAAACCATTGAAAACCTGGGGGCATTAGATAGCTGTTTCGTCCTAGTATGGGACTCCTCACCAGCACAATCCCATATAGAAGCAAAAGCACTTACTTGACTGACTTAGTCTTAAAAATTTGGATCTTGTTCCACATGCTGAGTGCAGTGGAGTGCAGTAGGTCTCCATACTGGTTTCAGATCAATGAAGGCCTGTTTTGCTGTCTTTCTGGTCCTTATCTGTGTCTGTACCGCATGTAGTTGAAACGGTGCTGCCTAGGTAGGTAGGTGAAAGAGACTACTTTCTTCAGGTTTCTCCCGTTGATGGTGATTGCTGCTATTGTTGCTTGAGTATCTTCATCGCGTGTGTCTTCTCTACGTTCACCTGAAGGAAGTCACGTCTTCTCTGCCTCTTCTGCCAACTTGTTACTTTTCACCTGTACATCTTCGAGTTTGTGGGACAAAACTTTGGACATAAATCATCATTGGCGAAATGCAAATGTTCTAAGGTCCTTTCGTCTGTCAAATAGCGTATGCCCATCTTCTCACTTCTCATAGTCGAGCCGAGTCGACCTCAATCAGGAAGATCATCGGTGATAGTAGGCAGCCTTGTCTTACTCCTGTCTCCATTTCACTTCAAAGGCATCACTGAGTTTTCGATTGTGAATCACTTGGCATGGTGGCGTCCTCATATAGCTGTTGAATGAGGTTGATAAGGGTTTATGGCACTGAAACCATAGTGTTGAAGCAGTTGCCAAATTACATCTCGGTTGACGCTATCGAAGGCCTTTCCAAAGCCGACGAGGTTGAGTTGAGTTGACTGCCATTCTACGCTCTGTTCTATGATGATGTGCAGCGTAGCGTTTCAATTTGATCCGCACATGATTTGTTCTTCCTGAAGCCAACTAGACTGTTCCGGTCGTAATTATGAATGCAAAGGATTTTTTAGTCTCTCCAGGATGATGCGGCTTGATATTTTGCTTGGGATGGACAGGGGTGGAGCATGATTCCGCGCCATTTCTCGATCCTTGCTATATCGCAGATTGGCAGAAGTACGAAAATTGCGGACCATTAGACTCCGACTTAGTGACTGAATGATAACTTGCTTGCAGTGAGATCTGAAGTTTCTGGGTTCGATCCCCGGGAGGGAGTTCTAAGACCACATTGTTGAGGAGTCCAAAGCTGAGATGAAACACCTTGGAAGTGCCTTTAGGTTCTCCGGCTGATATCAGTTCGTGATACATTTCGAAGTAGCGATAAAAGCCGAAAATTCAAGCTCCACCTCATTATTATCTTCTCGACTTCTTTGGTCATATTGCTAACCCTCGAAATTCATATCGATTGTGGCTTGAATTTCATGGCATGAGCTTATATGCGACTTCTATAGTTCCATTGCAACTTGAAGTTCATAATTCATGTATACTATTTAGTAATAGTCGTGGACGTGTAGCTTAGAATAGTGATGATGATAGTTCACATTTTTCTGGACTACGAAATTTGATTGTGAAGGTTTCGCCACTAGTGTAGATGATTTGATCACTGCTTGCTTCAGTCTTTGGTCACTGAAGATGCAAACGAACAAAAAGTGAAAAAATAATGAAAACAGATACAAATGAAAGTGATATGGGTGGTTAGAAATAAACAGTAATGGAATGGTCCAGGTTTAAAGGGGGAACTGAATTAAGTTCATCTTCTCCCCAATAAGCATTTCAAATTTCGAAGGCATGCAAGTTGAACAACGATCTCATTGAATTTGATACGGAAACCTATGATTTTCTTTATGTCTTAGGTGATCAGCGATTCTGT